AAAGGCTGGATTAAAGAGGTGCGGGGATTTGGGCTCTCTAGTATGATTACTCAAAAGTACTTACTGGCCATAACTTGTCTGAGAACTGCATCAGCTTTAATTATTAATAAGTCAGTTACCGCCTCCTTTTTTGCATTTGAGTAAAAGTAAAAGTAAAAGTATATAAATTGCAAAAAACTATCTTATCACTGACTTCATTTGAGAAGTAGCGTTTGACGTTGCTCCGGGTTGTTCCGTCACACAACCTGAAAGTGTTAAAGCGTTCACATCGGTGCTTATGATCAATATCACTGAACACAGTGAAGCGCAGTTCGTCAGATACAACTGTGAAGGAACAAAACGTGGTGGCACCTTGATTTCATTTGGTCAGAAATGTAATTTACTGTTTTTCTTTGGTAGGAATTCGTGCAAACTTCAAAAGGTATTTTTTTGTTAATAAATACTGTTGAAAAGCCTGTTTATTTCCCTTATATCTTGCCAAGAAGCATTGTTGGCAACAAAGGAATAATCAACAAAACACAAATTTCCTTACTTTTTGAGCTAATTTTAAATAGGCACAGGGAAGGGAAGGAAAGGAAAGGAAAGCCCATTCACACACATACAAGTGTGTAAATCAGTGTCACATCCTTTTCTTTTTACACCAAGTGGTCTGCAGTTTCTGAATGAGACCTGTCATCAGTTAAACACAGCAAGTGCCATGGCTAGCAGAACTGATATAATCAAAAGCAACTATTTATTTTTGCATAGCACATGTAAAATTCTGCATGATATTAGGTTTGGGTTTTTTTTTGAACCAAAACACTTGAAGATGGTGTGTGCATACTTCCTGTCTGGCTGTTTCAGTAGGATCAGTGACTTACAGCCAGTAGCTGAGGTGAATGCTGAGAAATCATTCCTCCAGCTGTGTCTAGCGCCACTCAGTGACCCCTCAAAAATCCCCAATAAATTCAAAGATACGAGGAACACAAACCAGTGTAAACGACACTTGAAAGCACGGGACAGGTGCTGTATACAGTTGTATCAGGGTGGCTGACGTGAACATCTGGAAGTAACTATAGACACACGATACTGCATTCTGCAGTAATGGAAAAAAGCTTGTTCTCTTTTAGGCCTCTGATGGTCTTTCCTTAATTTAAATGTATTTTAACCTCTTTATTGTAACTCACTTTACCCTTTAACAGCAAACAAGAAGCTCAGCTCCAGTACTCTACACTCAACCTGACATTAGACTAAAAAAGAACAAAAAAAAACAAAGCAGGCAGCTATATATTCTCTTTATTCTCTACACCCTGTCTGCATGTGGCAAGTTTCGCTTTCACTAAGGTTTTCGATGTCTGGCTCTCTTTAACATGTAAGCCCATGTTTACTTGTGAATCTCATCACATTCACATCCTATTTATACGAGTCCCTTACTTATGGCCTTACCAGTGGCTAAAGCATGAACATACATAAACAAAAAGAAACCCACTGACAGTCACCTGGCCTCTACTAAACACAACAAGAGGAGGACGAGACACTAAAGCTGAAAATTTCCTCCACATCAGGCATGAATTAACTTTCTGGATGTAGAAGAGCTCAGAAAAGTAAAACATCCTTCCAAAGATTCCTGGATCCAGATCCTTATCATCTCCAGAAGTTAATCACTTCTGAATTGGGCCAAGCCCCACCTCTGGTGCACTTTGTATGCAAATATGTCAATACCTCTTTGAGGTAGCGGACAAACAAATAAATCAAATGAACCAATCAGATGACCTCCATAGTTGAGGTAGATTTACAGTGTCTCTGGGTTCTCTGGGTTTCTCTAGCTTTAAAGCTTCAGTCCTGGTTCTGTGAATAATCCTAGTTTGAAATTATTGAGTTCCTATTCCTGATTTCATTGTATTACAGTGGGCCTGTATTGTTGTAGTTTTGAATGGTGTTTTCTTGGGTTTCGGCCTCTGTTTTGAGTTTATCAGAGTGCCTTTATTCCCCTCAGTGGTTTTCTGCTCATTCCTCCCTAAGTCTCTTCTGCCTCTGATTTAGTTAGGGTGAAGTCTTCTTGCTTACATGTTTTTCCTATTTTACTTTGAAAGTCAGCCTTTATTACCTTGTGCTGCTTTTATTTCCTGTCTTACCTTGTCTAGTTGTCACCTATTGGTAGATATCATCACCTGTGTCCACACCCATCTGTCTTCCCCGGGCACTTCTGAGAGTATTTGTAAACTTGCCTCAAGATGTCCGTTCATTTTCCTTGATGTGCATCTCCGATTTCTCTGTAGGTCCTTTATTTACTTTTTAAACTTTGGGACTTTTTATACCTGCCTAAATAAAGGCATGTTATCTTATTTCATTACATTGTTTTTGTGCCTTGCATTCAGGTCACCTCAGCTCCACATATCTTGACGTACAATGGAAGAGAACAACAGAAAAGACACTACTGCCATCAGGAAAACAAAACCCGTATTAAACGATACAGGGAATCTAACCAAGAATTAGCTTGCGACGTGAAAATTCCTAACTACTGTCAGTCGTGAGGCTCATGAGCCAATCCCAATCTAAGCACTAAGACAAGTGGAATAAGACACAATAGGCCTGAGATAAAACTGACAAAACTGAGCCTTGTGAGTCACAGGTCTAAGAATGGACTCACAAATCTAAATCAAACAAAACATGTTGCTGCTAAAAAAAAAAAAAAAATACAGACTCACCCTTAGACCAGGAAAGCCACTTATGCCAGCCCCACCAACAGGGCCCTGTGGAGGAACATCATAAGTACGTTTGTCTCACTCTCAAAACAATACAGGAGTAACAAAGCATATTTATGTCATCTGATCATAAAAAACCTTAAAAAACTCTCAGTAAAGCTAGGATTATTCATACGCATATAACTGTACATTTTACAGCTGAGCATTATGAGACACTGTCCACCTGTGCTGCCTCTAATGAGACAGCACAAACAGAAGAAGCCAGAGTTCGAGGATGAAGACAGAAGACTGAAGTAAGTATTGGACATACTGAACAAAAAGCGGGCACAAGTTCTCACCTCATTTCCATCTGGACCAGGAGGCCCCCTCTCCCCAGCATCCCCCATGACACCCTACGGGGCAAATACATCCGCAATTAATTTAAGAAAGTCAGGACTACCATTTCTAACTTTACCCTCAATCTGCAGAGAGTAGCACCTCCACAGAGGTAAAAGAGTAGTTTTTTTTCTTCTGCTTTCTCCATAACGGCTCTCTGCTTTCTGTCGTGCGTGGCATAGCAAACGTTTTTTAAAAATTGACTTTACATGTAGCATTTAACGTGCAATTTCCCAAAGTAATTATTCAAGATTAACTTCACATGGACATAATGTGCAAAAGCACATTTTTTAATGAGGCAAGATTAGCCGGCGTATTAGGCAGACATCACTGTTCCAAGAAAAAAAAAATTGATAAAACAGGCACTGGGCTTTTTGCCCGCTTGGCAACTTCAATACAGAGAAGCGAAGGCTTGTTTTTAAAACATTAACTTTTCACAGTGTGCGGGCCCAACCTAGACATTCCATCTGTCTCTGAGTGTAACTGTATTCAAGGCCACCCTGGAACAAACTTGCAGACAATATGCCAAGATGCATGTAATTTGCTATATCTTGAACACTGTATTGTATGTATGCATACATGTGTAATAGTCCTCTTTGTTCTTTTCTCTCGATGTCCTATCAAACCCGCCTCCTGCTGCTTTAGCACATTCACAGCAGCAGGATACAAATGTGCCTCTTTTGGATGCTTCTGGGGCCCGTGTGGATATGCAGTACTGCTATATACTGGCATACTGTATACCTGATGAGCTGGATAGCAGCAGTTTTTACCATCAACGTAATGGGCAAAAGTATAGATTTAGGGAACTGTTAAGTATGGCAAAAACCAAAATGGATTCATTATTACATATCTTCCTTTGGGGCCAGGTCTTCCAGCAGGTCCAGGTATGCCCTAGAAAAGAAAAACAAGCAGTTAGATTTCTCACGCAAGTTTAGGATTGAAATTGAAATGACTGGAAAGAGAATTAGAGAGGATATGAGCCTAAGCAACCACAGCTCTTCTAATCTCCCCCGCAATCCATAAAACAAAATAAGCCCATAAAATAAGATGCTTAAATTATCCATTAAAATCACACAGGTTCTCAATACAGCCTACTTTAGGTGAGGATTTAACAATGCATTTCATCACGTTGAATAAAGTTCTCTTGGCATAAAACAAGCTGATGTGAAAAAGCCACAACAAAACTACAAACACCGGGATTTCTTAGATTTTGACCTCTCAAGAATGAAGCAATGTGTTCAGTAATTACTGACTGCCTAAATGGAAAATATTTTTTTCTGTAGCCTAATGATGGGGGGAAAGTTTGAATAAACAGTAAATAAATGGAGGTGAAAGATAAGATATTCACGGATTTATTAGAGGTAAATAAAAAAAATTGTGATGGGAAATGTGTCATGTTTATAGAGACTTTGACAAATTGCACACTGGAAATGAACAAACATCACTCACTTTCTCCCCTTCCAGCCCGGGTGGGCCAGCATCGCCCGGAGGCCCAATGAAACCCTGAAAATGAGAAAAACATCACAACAAAGTAAAAATTCTGTGCTGCATTAACACAGCACAATGCTTACATTAACTTGTCATTATAAAATAACAACAGAAGAAGAATAGTAGCTTGTCTGGTGCACTGTTCTTGAATGCCTTCAAATGCACTAATAATATTTCAGCAACAGAGCTGCACATAGTCTTTTATTTTGGAAACTGACTACATTTCCTTTTCCTGCATCTGACTTTTTGCACCCTGCATCAGATGTGGGTCATGTCCGCTCATCTTGGCTAACATGAATAACTTATTTTGTGCTGATGGCAGCACAGGAAAAACGATTTGCCACTGAAATCAGTTCATAACAATCAGGACGGTCGCAGCTTGAACATCTTTGTCTGGAGTACAGAGCCACCACATGAAAGTGCCTAATTGGGTAAAAATAGATGACACAGTCAGAGGATTTTTTTTTTATTCTTTTAAAATTTAATTCTGGATTTTAAAAGACATGTGTGGCCCTGATGCATCCTGTGGGAAACATGGGAGAAATAGCTGGTTTCACTGGCCAAACTCTTCTTTGTTCAAGGTAAATGTAGCTCAGGAACAGTCTGAACACAGATTCCTCATCAGTGTTACAGGTAATTTCAAGGAGTTTTCCAGTGAGTAAAAATGCAAACAGGATCAGTATCTGAGACCAATGATCGATTTAATTTTTGTACCAATAACAAAAAAAAAACAAAAAAAACCCAAATACCGGTAGGATCTTTAATCTGATTTTAAATCATGAACAGTGTTCTCATATCATAATTGGTCCTGCATTACAAGCTAACATACACCAAAAACAAATCTGTTGGAGCCATAAGAAATTAAAAAGTTGGTTTTAGCCTCATTTTTGCAACCAAACTGTCAAAATACGAGCAAAAAACCCTAAAGCTGCTCAGTATTTGTACTACAATTCAGACTGGCTGCATTCAGGTTTGTATGTCAGTTAGCATACAACGTAATCAGTATTTCCGAGTCATCCTTTTTTTTTTGCATCCCTTTCCACCCTCTCTCATTGCTCAAACATCTTTCTTTTCAGCACATTGTCTGCCTCTGTGGCTCCTTCTCACCCTGCCAGCTTCGGTCCGACACTGTGATCCTAGCTATCCTGTTTCCTGGGACCGCAACGCTCCTCTTAAGTCCATTCTCTAGCTAGCTCATTTGGCCCCTTCTGATTTCATCTGTTCCTCTTCTACCTACTGTCTTTCTTCTGTTCTCCTATTTTGGGGCATTTCAGTCACTGTGGAGCCAGCCTGAAACTCTGGTCCTAATCCTTTCAGGAAATGAAAGAGTTCAATGTAGTAATACTGAAGGAAAAAAAATAGCAGAAAACACCTTATACTTACACGAACACCTTTAGGGCCAGGGCTACCTTGTGGCCCGGCCGAGCCCTACAAAGAAAAACAGGGAGACTTTGTTGACTACAAAGCATCTGATGTGCATAGGTCAGCAGAAATTAGTGTACATTATTGTGGCTGTGTTCTCTTAGTAAAGTTCTCGATAGAGCAATAAAGGAATCTGCAAGGATTGATGGAGAAACAATTTTTGTGTGTTTTTCACTGCACCTGCCTGCCAGGGTAACCTGCAGCTCCAGCTTCCCCAGGAAGTCCTGGTATGCCCTAAAGTGACGAGAGAGGAAAAGGGAGAGAGAGAGAATGACCGGTGAATAGGGAGATTAGTGGACGGATAACGTGAAAGGGGAGAAACGCAGACTTCTAGTAGCAGTGCCAGCTAAGGAATAAAACAAGCACTGTTCATTCCCAACAGCTCCGTCTACTAACTGCACCTTTCAGCACCCCTCCAATACACCCCATCCCTCACTATCTCACTCTGGCTTTTACTTCAGCTCATTGTTCACTGTTATGTGACTCATTCTTGTTATTGTCGTTGTTTGAGAAAGTGAAGAGTTTTAAGAGGGATAAAAAGAGCCATAAAAAGAACCAGCTACTATAAGGGACAACTGAAGGACTACCATAACTGGCTTGTCACACACTCATCTTTGCATTCGTTCATTTGCATGTGTGTACCAACCCAGTTCCTATTTGTATTTTTGTGACAAAGTACTAGCCGGAATCCAGCTACCTTGAATTTAACAATTTTAGTTTTGTTGGGCTGTAACACAAACCATGAACACAAATAACTACTTACTTGTTCTCCTGGTGGTCCAGGTGGACCCAGATAACCTTTAGGACCCTTAAAAAGTAAAATGAAACAAGTACTTTTAGTAAATTTAGTAAATTTCAACTGAAAAATTGGTAACTAAGAGTAACTAAGCTGCCCTGCTAGCAGCATTAAAAGGCATAAAAACTAAATGCTAAATTAAGAATATGTACGCCGAATGTGAGCTATTAGAGAGCAGTCAGTCTAATCAAAATATCATGTTGAGTGTTGAAACAAAGCATGCGGATGAAGTCAGGGGATTACCAGCTTCAGTAGGATTCAACTACTTGGAAACCATGAATCTATGTGTCAGGTTCAAAGAGTTTAACCAACCACCCCACTGGACAGACCCCAAGCAGTGCACTAAACAAGAAGAGCCAACAGTAAAACTAGAAAAAAGAAGGGTAGTTAATCACTTTGATGAAGTAAAGAAAAAAACAGTGGGATGGATTTCCTGTGGGCAGTTTTTGTGTTACTACTTTAAAATTTCCAAAGTCATAGATAATGCTTTAGACTTGGGTCGGTAACCTTATGCACGTCCTGCATGTCCTGTGTAAACATGAGAAATTATGCAGTTTTGTATCAGTGAAAATAATGGTTTGAGCTTCATGTTTCTGTGGGAAAGTCTGTGGGCAGGCACACTTTTTGGGACTGGCCAAAGGACGTGTGATAAAACAATATATAACAAATCTATTACATGTGACATCTCTGTTTGAGAAATTTGCTCTAAACAGTTTTCTTTGAGTTTGTGCCATCTAGTTTTAACAAGTCGGTGTCCCATTTTACATCAGGACAGTTTATAAAAACATCCACAGCACATTTCTGAGTTCTGTGTGGTTTTAAAACAAAGTGATTCAATTAAAACACAAAAAAAAATGTTCATTCTGCAGAAAGTGATTAAAGTGGAAACAGTTTAGTGGCTCTGGTCCAAAGCCAGCCCTGGGCTACAGCAAAATCCCACATTTAGTTAAGTAAGCACGTTTTCTTTGTAAGCTAAACAGGATTTATTGTTGAGTAAATCAGAGCTATTCTCCTCTTAAGCGCTTTATTTTTGCTTTTGATGTGATTATCAACAACAGATGTTTACAGCGACAAAACACAAGGTCAGGGCCAGGCCAGTGTCTTTTTCGGGGAAGAAAGAGGGCTTCTTGAACAGTATCAATGTCTCTGTCATGTACTTTCGAGGTTGTGACATATGACCTTCACGCCCAATAAAAGTTCCACGCAGGGCTAAAGAGCGTAGGCCAGTAATTTCCTCTGAAAATACCTGATGGGCCGCAGGGGGTGTGCTGGATGTATTAAGTTTAGCTACTGCAAACACTGATGTGGCCTCTTGGGATTCAAGGTTAAGGCCAACTATGTGGAAACCAGATTCAGAATTTCATCAAGAAGCTACCTGTAGATACAGCCATGTGAGGAGCAGGACCACCTACTATAACAGAATAAATCTATTGAGTTCATGGGGTCATGCCAAGAAAAACTCAAACACAACAGCAGCGATGTGTGGCTTTGAGTAAAACTATAAAGCCTAAAAAGAATTTAAGTCTGTCAGTTGATAATTATGTATCAATGCTTTTCATTTTACCCGTCACTGCATCTATGAAATTCTCTGTTTTAAAGCATGGCATGACAGTGGATGTCTGGTACCCAAGGCAGTACCATATCACCCCCATTAGAACACTTCGCTCTCACACTGCAGGCTTACTTATTGTTCCTAGAATCCAGCTTCCAGTTTGGATTCGGCAGACAGACACTATCTCTACTTTTAAGATTAGGCTTCAAACTTTCCTTTTTGGTAAAGTATATAGTTAGGGCTGGATCAGGTGACCTTGAATCCTCCCTTAGTTATGCTGCAATAGGTGTAGACTGCTGGGGGATTCCCATGATGCACTGAGCATTTTCTTTTCTGTCATCTTTCTCACTCAACATGTGTTAACAGACCTCTCTGTATTGAATCATACTTGTTATTAACCTCTGTCTCTCTTCCACAGCTTGTCTTTATCCTGTCTTCCTTCTCTCACCCCAACCGGTCGCAGCAGATGGCCCCGCCCCTCCCTGAGCCTGGTTCTGCTGGAGGTTTCTTCCTGTTAAAAGGGAGTTTTTCCTTCCCACTGTCGCCAAAGTGCTTGCTCATAGGGGGTCATATGATTGTTGGGTTTTTTCTCTGAATGTATTATTGTAGGGTCTAACTTACAATATAAAGCACATTGAGGCGACTGTTGCTGTGATTTGGCGCTATATAAATACAACTGAATTGAATTGAAATGGAATGGAATGGAATATGGACTATGCTATTGATCCCACGGTCCAGGGAAAGGTCGTTTTCCTCTTTCAGATCACCTCTGACCTTAAACCTTAAAAGCCAGGTTTAGCTTTGAGCAAAGCAGCACTACGTCCTAACAGTCAGCTTCAAGCTCTGATTGAGACAGAGAGGAAGAAACAGGATCGACCTCACACGGTAAAGTAAAGATATAGGAGGGGAAAATGAGCAAGAAAAGATGGACTCATATATTTCTTTCTGTTAGTTTATAATGAAAATATAAAGAAACACAGACTGTAGACGGAGAACTGTGGCAAGCAGCGATGACATGGGCCACACTGATTCACCTCAATACAAAGGATTGAAAGGAAACAGTAAATGGTAAAAGTAAGATAAAAGTTGTGCTCCCAGTGATTTTTTTTTAAAGAATTATAAAACAACAAAATGACATTATACAGTACATAAACATGTACTTTTTCACAGATTGAAAGTCTTTTATGCTCTCATCTCACAAGCAGTTTTATAGAATAAATGTTACCAGTAAGCCTGGAAATCCATTGGGTCCAGGACGACCTGGAGGTCCTCTGTCACCCTAATAAAACAAAGGAAAAAGAAAGCAGTACAACACATGCACAGTCATTATTAAATGCCATAAATGAAATATTGTTTAACTCAATACTAAAGCTTCATAAAAGCATTACACCAATGAATAATTCATGAAAGTGATGCAATATTTGAAAAAGGAAATAGCTTTTCTGGTTAAAATGAGAAATGTGGGCGGCCAGAGCAAGCAAAATAGGCAGTGATTGACCAGTTAGATATAAAATTAGGCATCAGTTAACACCAACGTGAACATGATCGCCCTCCTCACATCTCAGAATAGAGTTCTGGCTCATAAAAAGGATCTTATGTTGCCTGTTCGCGTCCATCCTGTTGTGGCTGTGGCCGGCTAATCCCGCTGTGTGCTACCTCAGCTGCCACTTGTTAAATCTGTTATTTATGTCGCTGTCATGGATCTGACTGAGTCCTGTTGTCAAGAGCTTTGCCATCTTAGAGGGGAGCAGCATTTTTGGTTTAATCCTGTGCTCACTCAGAGAAGACTCAGCTTACACTTGCTTGAGTTCAGTTACGATACTGCACACTTGACTTACACATGCACAAAAAGTAAACAAGGAAATTACACTGTGATTCATCATTTGGACAGCTGAGTTGTTTCTTGCTAAACATTATTAGTAAGGACTGAAGCATCTGTTTATTAATTCGCCATCACTTTTACAAGAAAAGCCCACACAGTGAAAATTCTGATTTAATGATATAGAGATCAAAATATTCTTATTTTGATTTTAAAAACCCAAAAAAAACTAAATAAAGGTAAGTTGAGCGTGCATATGAGAAATTAACTTGGCTAACAGATTTTAACCAGCATTCTTTCTCATTATAACACCCCGATTTTTTATAATCACAGTGCATGGTAGTGCAGTGACCTTTCTGTGCGCAATTTGAATGTTTTCTTCTCTTCAGGTGCTTCAGTTTCTTCTCATGGTCCAAAGGCATGCATGGGTTATGTTAACAGGCAATCCTACACTGACCGTAGGTGTGAATGTGAGTGTGAATGATTGTCTGTGTCTCTGCGTTAGCCTTGTGCTAGCATGGAGACGTCCCATGGTTTCCTCCTGGTCTCATCTAGTGAGAGCATGCAGACAGTTCCTGGCCTCATCTAACCTACATCCAACACAACATCTCTGGGACATTATGTTTTAGTCCATCCAAAGCCGCCATGTTCCACCTCAGACTGTCGGGAACTCAGTGATGCCCTGATGCAGATCAGGGAGGAGATCCCCAGGAAACCATCCATGTCATTAGGAGCATGAATACCAGCATCCAAGGCCATACAGACTAATGAGTATCATTATGAATTGAAAATTCATAATGATATTGCAAAATGGACTAGCCTGTTGCAACATTTCTTCACTTTCATGTTCACCAAACTGTCAAGATGCCCATAGATGGACTCTACCCCAGTTCGGCTAACCCTAAATTTGCATCTGGGCAACAAAAAGATTTCCTTGCTATTTCCAAAATGTTTCCTCAGTGTTTTAAATACTCCCAGCATTCCTTTCTCTTGTTGGCTCAATTTTGAACAGTGTGAAACAACACTCGCAGCTGCACACATCTTTAAGTCTCATGGAGGTACAAGAGTGATAACAGCACTGCACTACGAATGAACTTGTAAGTAATACTGGACGAACCCTACTGAAACTTCACATTAATCCGTTTACCCCAGCGAGGATTTAAAGAGAGCTATGATACTTTGCTATGCGAAGCTCCTTAAACTTGAGGGAAGACGGATATGTTTGGATATTAATCACTTCAAAAAAATGTAGCAGTGCTTCTCAGGAATATCATTACTGTAATCATGTTTGAAGAAGAAAATGAGACAGAAGAGATGATAGACTAAGCAAAGGCCAGCCGTGATGATGTCAGACAATTCAGTGACAATAAAATGACTCAGAAATGCATAAAAAAGGCTTTAAAGTCAATGTAGAATGAATTCATTGGGATAAAGAAAACCATACCCTCAAAGTCATTGTTGTAGTATTTGAAAATTAATTTACCGGTATGCTGAAAACGCCTCGTAAAATTAAATGAAAAATCTGTTTTTCATCATCATGAATGAAAACTGTTTAGTATTTTGTGACTTGCTGAATAATCTTTAGTACTCACTCTACTGTATGAACTGTGTCAACATTTTGGGATCATTTCACAACACTGAAGAAAAAAAAAAAAGAATCCCACATCATAAACCAAAAGCTGCCAGTAAGTGAAATGGTGGGGGTGACGACTCGTGAGGTCATGAGACAAACATAGCAAAGAGCAGAGGGACAGAGAGCCGGACACAGAGACCAGTGGCAGATTCCTCACCTTCTCTCCTGGTGGAGCCTGACCTGGAGACAGCCCAGGGTCTCCCTTTGAACCCTAGAACAGAAACAGGGTCACAAGGTCAGAATCTCAGGCACTCAGTGCATTTATAATCTATTGCTGACACGCACATCCAGATATTGCCACACCTCAAAAATAGTATACATAAAGATTCTGATTTTGAGAGGTCCAAAAATAAGTATGCAGAAAAAAAGCATGCATAACATGCAGGCTACAGTGCTTGATTACCTGATTTACACTGTATGTGTATAAAAATGTATGTGAACCCTTAAGATAGCTGTCAGCAAAAGGCTAGGTGGTGGCAACCAGAAAAACAATATTGGGGGTAAAGGAGTGAGTCTGATGCCGAATTTGATGCTCATCTCACATAAAAGACATCTGCAAAGGCTTATAACAAAGAATGACTCATTAGATACATTCTGGGAAATTTAGAAGTAATTTTAGATCCTAAAAACTGAAAATCAGCTGAAGGAAGGAAGGAAGGAAGGAAGGAAGGAAGGAAGGAAGGAGCCTTTTTTCATTGGTCTGCATGTAGCATTTTGTATGGTATGAAAAAGCAAAGCATACCAAATTCATAGCCATCTGGTGTAGGATGACAGTCAGAGGCTTTAACCTTCAGCCGGGTCTATAAGTAATTTGACATCTTGATTGTTTTATTTATAATCTGCTGTAGCAGTGTAAAGAGGCAATTTTCAAAAACTTACACACATATCTGTGTAATAGACAAGCATCACCTGTGAGTCTTTGATGGGTTTAATGAAGACGAAACATACTGTAGCTCTTAGTCTGTTTTACTTAGTTAGTTGGTTATTAAAGTGAAAGAAACAGTTGACTCCAAACAAGCAGCTGGAGCAAAGCAGGGATTTCCAGAGAACAGCAATATTGCTCTTTAACAGCCAGAGGTCTCATGCCTTTCCTCCCCAGTATGAAATAGATTTAGGTCAGAACATCTTTTCTGTTGTGATTCAACTAAAAGTAATATTCTCCAGACAGCAGACAGCCTTAAAGATGCAATGCCAGCAGACTGTCACATAATTTTAGCGCCAATACTTAATCTGACATTCCAACTTGCTGTTGTCAACACTAAAGTGTCCTGGTGAGGAATAGTTAGCCGTTCCTGCAAAGCAGGGGGAACAGCAATACAGCACAACATTTTGCACACTGTGAAAAATATTTGGGTTTGGATACTAAGAAAACGAGTGAGTCAAATATATTTTGTGACAGTTTAATAAATGTGTTTTACATGCATGATGAGCTGAACACGCGTGACAGACCCTCTTTTTTAGAGACAAATGTACTGAAATGTGGAGGTGAACAGACAGGCACCAAAATGCTTTCAGCTACACAAAGGGAATGTTGCTTCATTCTAACGTCACAATTTTCCATTCTTTGCATTATTTATTTTTATGTCATAGATCACATTGAGGAATGTTTCTACAACTGAACTATACCGGAGAGTAAGAGGAGGAACTAAATGTAAAGAAAACTGACTGAATTGAACTTGTTTGATTAGATTGTGTGATTATTCCAATGACTGGAAACCTACAAACATAAACAACCAGAAATCGGTGTCAGGAAGGCTATTCCAGAAACTAATTGGCGATATCTCTATAAAACTGCAGATTTTGGTAAATCCCATTTTTTACATTTTTCTTATCCGTCTACACTCACTGCAAATAAAGATTACCTGCCTGTGTTTTTAAGCATCATATTTCCATAGTTTTGACTGACACCCAATGAGGCATACAAAGGCTAAGCGAGTGAGAGAAGAGAAATCCTGCCATATCATAAAACCAGTTCCTTCCTGTTTAAAAAACAGTCGGCTGAGCATAAAGTCGACAGCCTGACAGGCTCTTTCAGGTTAAGGGCTTATCTTTATAACATTTCAGATTAGGCTTCAAAAATGTAAGATTGGCTCAGCGTCAGTAACCATATTCCCAGTGTCCTAGAAACAAAACACATTTCAACAAGAGATGTTTTCCAAAACTGAGACAAAGAGGTTCTCAGTCGCTTCCCTGCCTCCGCAAAGGGTTTCAGGGCTGAGAATGACTCACTGACCGGTCACTATGGTATTAGATACTCTTTTATTTTTCCACATGAGTGTGGGAGTAAACGCTGATAGAACAGAAAGCCGGCAGGTGGCCTGCTGTTGCATAATAGCTGATCAGTGGAATTTAGCCAAATCTCAGCGTCTCAGCAAGGTCAGAGGTGATACAGAATAAATCCACCTCTCTGTGCTGTTTCAACAATCAAGGAAGAAAAACAACATTTGGTAGTCTCATAAATAGAATTCTTCTCTCCGTGTACTAACAAAGTGAAGAGGCATTCGCTTGTCGGAAAGTTTGGCAATCAGCAATGAAGAGGGAAGGGTAGGACAACCACTCGTGCTTCGCTTGACTCCTGTAGCGGGAGTGTTTGTTGATTGATTGCTTGGTCTTGGCAGCCACTCTGTGGGTAGACAGTAAGGAATACAGCCATCACAAACATCTGCATGGCGCTGCCCACATTCTCGCTCAGCCTTACCGATGTTTCTGGTCCTAAGCTGGGGAAAAAGCTTAGCAGTGACGCTTTCTGTTGATTTCTTCCCCCTTTTTATATGAAATCAGTGCTATGGTTAATGAGCCAGGACTGGCACAATTATGCCCTGTGGTTAAACCCAAGGTAATAACGATCTAAGCTAAGGGTATCATTTAAACAAACAACCGCCTTTGTCTCCTCCTGGTGCACGGTGTCAATATACAGGCCTGCTATTATCATGCTTGCCTACATCTGGCTGTGTTTAATTCCTCTTGCACACACTCTCTTCTCTTCAGGGAACAGCATGTCAGTCGCTATAATTGATGCCATTTGCTATATAGTAAAAACTTTAACTACAGAAGAGTAAATTTCCATGAGTTTGCGGGATTTCTCAGATAACTAAGCCACTTAGTGACATCACTGCTGATGTGCTTGATTGATTTAATGTTCAAGGACGCAAAGCGCAGACTCTAACAACTGTGTACAACTATCCTTTAAAAACAAACTCTTGACATGCCTCTAACTGAACTAGCCATTATGTCAAGAAACGCTGTGTGTGGCCTTGTCAGGAGAAGACAGCATGAAATCAGGACGCCGCACTGATGAATAGCATGATTAGATCTACTGCCAATAAGAATAAAAAATAAATTAATTTAAAAAAAATGGCAGGTTGAGTGTATTTCTACAGTTTTTCGGTACGACTGTCTTCTCAACGCATTTTATACAATAACCCACATGCACTGATGGTGCATTAAAGCCAATTCCTCGTTTCAGTAGTTTCCTAAAGTACATTTTGAAAAGTCGGCTAAAACAGCAAAATCCGATCACTAAGCTTCCGATTAATTTACACCACACATTATTTCCTTATCCACAGCCACAGCCAATGGATTGAGCACCTCAACTACTAGAGCAGTGACGACATGGTTATCAAAACCCACTAATGTGACGAGTCCTTTTCAAACAAACCAGCACTTAGCCATGGGTTTTCCACTTCTTTACAAAACAAGGTGACTAAAAGCATATGGCTAGATCTTTTTAATGAAAGCATGTGAAAGCAGAGTATAACCGAACAACATCCCTGGCCTGTGTGTTGGGTTCAGTGGTGCCCCTTGCGGCTGTGAGGAGACGTTCTCCACACCCATAGAGAGTGTACTAGCCAGAACTCTGTGTGGTACTCTCACAGAGTGCTGTTTATACACCCCACTCCTTCTCCTATTGGAGAATACTGCTCACCTTGGGTCCAGGTGGTCCAGGCTGTCCTGGTTTTCCATGTGGACCAGGGGGACCCTGGAACAGACACAGCAGAGAAATGTGAAATTGCTGTGCATTGCTGTCAACAGCTCAATTTGAGATGAGTTCAGAATAGTTACATGTTCCACAGCAATGTAAAATAAAAGTGATGAAACAAGAAAGTTGCACAAAGATATTGCAGTTTCTTCAGAAGTGCACACACCGTTAGATTTAAAATGAACAAATAACTCTATCCTATCACATTCGCCCTCAGTGCAAATCAGTATATCATGGAACCAAACAGTTATGCAACCACATGTGCTTAAAGCTACTATTAAATCCAGTTCTTTGTATTGTTTAACGGCAAAGAAAGACACGGCTCAAAGTGGTCTAACTCAAAAGATGATCTTTAATTTTACATATTCCGGAATATGGAGACTTCAGTCTGAAAAAGGAGCCGCCAGTCTGATTATTTATATACTTCCTCTACACGTCACGCACACTTTAAGTTTCGATCAAACACTCTACTTAGTTTCACTTTCTGCCTGCAGCTCCTGTGCTCTGCAAAAGCATGCAGTTTCCTGTCAGTACTCTTGGCTCAGACTCTACTCAGAGACGGCCCTTTTAGACTATATTAAAAACAAGTAACAATAAGCACTAACAATATATTTATTTTATGACACTACATGTGCACAGTCAAATGCACACTCGCACATCCACCATAAATGCACTGCATTCCTCCACATCTGTACCCCTGCTGCTTACCAGGCTTTTCTGCACTACAACAAGAGCTAAAAAAAGAAGCTCCAACTTTTCAGTGCTGTGCCTAATGTCTTCTGAATGAAAGTGCATACTGTCAACTAAGGTCCACCTTAAAGAACAAATGGAATTAATTTCTCTGATGGCACAAACATTAGATTCTCTTATTGCAACTCAGCAAGACAAAAGCTTCTATGATAATCAGCACCTCTTCCCCCCAGCACAGCTTTGTTATAGGATACAATATCATCTTTCTGCACAAACACATCTGAGCGCTAATATGACATTAGCACTCATATACACCAGAGCTGCCTCTTGCACTTGCAGGCATGATAGTTCACACTAGTTGACAGCACTGACAACAACATCAGCAATGTCTGTAATTCATTATCCCATGTTGTCATGTCAAGGAGTTCATGTGACGAGGGACGGTTCTGGACCACAAAGTCCATTATCCTGTGCAGAAACAGCAGAGACACAGTTAGAGTGCGCTGCCCTCAGCTTTCCAACACATAATGGTCCAAAGCCTCGTCCTGTTTGGACTTTCGGACTTAGCCTACAGGGTGATAAGTATGCTATGTTCCAGCCATGTGTTTTACAATCCTGTAATAGGAGACATGTTTAACTGAATGCCACCTCTTAGGGCCTACAAGCCTGTCTGTCTTTCTTTAAGGATGCTTTTCATCCTGTTAAAATGCAGACTTAGGTTAAAACCTTCCCTTCAAGTGGAATCAGTCATCTGGCGTAACAGCAATGCCAAAACTGAGGCTCAGGCAAAACAGCACCAAGTCCTATGACATAGTTGTGAACCTTGCTCATCTTTTGCTGCAACTAACATCATGCCATCTGACCTAATGCTTCAACATCTTGGGGAACTATAATAGAATAGAATAGAATAGAATAGAATTCAACTTTATTGTCATTGCACAGGTACAAGGCAACGAAATGCAGTTTGCATCCATCCTGAAGTGCTTTAGTGATATAGATATATTACAATATATATTAGCAATAATATAGAAATGCAAACTCCTGTATGTGAGTGTTGCATGTTGCCTTATTGTCACATCTAAAAAACTGTGGCTAAACTTAGAGAGGAAATCATGTACACATAGGCACATAAGTATATCCACAGAGGGCCACTCGCCTAAATAAACTACCGGGAACATGGTTTTACCCCATTAATAATCAATGCATTGGCGCTGACACTCGGGAGTCATTGCTTGATGTGGTTAAGAAGCAGGTGCTGAAATCTACAAGTAATCAACTTAATTATGCTAAATGTTTTCTTTAAGTGCAGCTGGTATTTCCATTCCATCAGTTAAATTAGCCATGATGATGCGTCTCCGCATGGTCGAGCAAAGACGGGACTGAAGTTATTCTTATTTATGACTTATTTATACCTTCCGTCCGACACTAAAAATAAAACACGCCTTGTTCTGTTTAAAAGATGCCTCCAGGGCCTGTGGCGTGATTGCGGCGTTGCATCATCAGCCTTAGCAGATGTATACAAAGTAGTCTTGAGATCAGAGTGGATTTAATCACACTAACCACAACACTGTCTGTCAGCACTGCTTTCCCGACGGTCGCAGATGTGGTGGTGACTAGCGGAAAAGCACACGAGGAGTGATTTTGCAGAGATTACTCACCCGAGAGCCTCTTTTTCCTGGAGGACCAGGTAAACCAGGGGGACCAGGAGGACCCTAAACCCGAAAGAAACCAGAAATGTGGAAAGGAAGGAGACATAGATAGAGACAGGGACGAGGGGGGAAGACAGTGCATTAATGGCAAGCAATAACATGTAGTTCACTGTTTAGGCATATTTGTGTAGGAGCTGCAAAGTTTAAAGAAAAGAGTCAAATGTTTGCATCTAAAAGCCCAATCAAGAAAGTCCTGATCAAGTAAAGCAAGTTACATTCTCATTATTAGACAGACACCGGTGTTCTCCGACTAGACTATTCCTAATCACCATCCAGTATATGCATAGAGTATACAGGGCTAAACAGCATTGAATTCGCCAAAATGGAAGCAGAACAACAAATCCTCCCTGTGCTTAGAAATCAAGAAGTGAAAGACGTTAATAGGAAACATAAGCATGTGCATTCAGTTCTACTTTAAGTAACAAATGTAATTAAGGATATGATATTTTATCATTCAAGGTTTTGTTTTGTTAGAAACTTAGTGAGCTCATACAGTCCAAATGCAGAGCCAGCTTTTTCTTTTATTTATTTGTTCGTTCATTTATTTAAAAAATGTGCTCTTTCAAAATTCTCTTACATCCTGTTTATCAAATGCTTCACATTATAAGCCAAATGTGTGGAAAGGAGTTTTAGAAAATTTAAGTAGAAACCAGAAAATCCAACTTAGGCTGAGGTCTGGGCTTTGACTGGATCATTGAATCACCTTCATTCTTTTTTTCACTTTATGTTGTAGACTTGCTGCTGTGCTTGGCATCATTGTCCTGTTATGACCCAGTCTCAGGCTTTAGCTGAAAACAGAGTTACCAGTTGACTAGAATACTTTGGCATACAGAGGCCTTCAAGGTCAAATCATTGACTGCAAGGTCCCCAGCATTCACCGTCTCCTCCACCGTGCTGACAGTCCAAAGACTGTCCAAAGGACTTTGTTCCAGGATTCTTCTGGTTTATTCAAACACACCTTTGAAAACCCCAGCTGTGCTGCCATGTTCGTTTTAGAAATAAGAGACTTTGTCTTAAACAAGCTGTACTTGTTCAGTCCTTTTCGATATATACTATAGCCATGAGATTTAACATGCTAACTGGCACCTCTGGTGTCTGAGATGTAGCTCTTGGGTTTTTTGCAGTTTCTCTGAGCATTGCAAGGTCTGGCCATGAGGTAAATTTGCTGGAACATGGGGAAAATTGCGGTCTTGTGTAGTCTTGAAAGCTCTAGACCAGCAGACTGCCAAAACCTCTGCTTTTCTGCTAAAGATGCGCACACTTGCTGATAATCGATCAATCGAGCACATTTCATTATTAGCACCTAGCTGCTACCTTCCATCTATGGAAGGAATAGGGTGTACTTAGTTTTTAACAGGGCTGTGTGCCAGACATATGCACTAAATTCACTCTGTTTAGCTGTGTAGAAAGATTTAAAATGTTTTGGGAAAAGGTCAGAGTCACATGTAAGAAATACTTGTACACCATTTCCTTCTCTCCCCCAAAACAATGTTAATATTCCCAAAACTAGATGATAAGACTGTTTACTGTTCAGTGTTTTTAGGGCACTCTGGAGCATCTCTTGTCCGAGAAGTAGATGGGCAGAGAGGGATACATAAATAAAGAAACAGCTGTTTGTTCCTCCAGACTCCCACATACAGAGACATGGAAAGTGTGAGCACACCACCGCCTTCGCCACAACAACAGGGCCTAAAGAAACGGAGGCACTGATCGACTAAAATGACCGTATTCAAAGGCTTCATCTGTGCTGCCAAGATAGGGGTCAAATATTCAACAGTGTCCAGTGAAAAGGTCAATTTTCTTGAAAGTTGAAGGGCAAAATGAATCTTCTTTTGAAGAACTCTTTAACTGCTGCACTGCGTGCGATAAAGTTGAGTTGATTCACACAAACCAATGTACGTTGTTTACACACAGCAACTTACTTTCAAAGGGGAAGGAGGAAATAAATGAGTGAATTTCACTCCAGTCCTGTATTTTATTTTTTTTAATTGGCTGTATTTCAGTGAAAACAATTTTTTATGTGTATGTGTTTGTTATAGTTTATGCAAGTCTTTTGTTTATACTGCTGTCTTTCTTGGCCAGGACACTCTTTGAGAATCTGATTTTCTTTTATAAGAGTCATTTTTCCTGAATAAATAAAGT